GCTGAAGCAGAGCTCTCCTGGGACAGATTGTCACTTGGCTCCCGAGGGCACGTTTGCTTGTTTTCATGCAGTACCAGCGCTGTAGGTGTGACTGCTTGCTCAGTTTACCTGTTTGGTTGTGTACAAGCTCCCCTGCCCCAAGTGTACCCCAGCAGTCAATGCTCTTCAAAACCCAGAGGCAACAGAAAATTCTTCTCACTTTGGTGGCTTTTTGACATGGTCTGGCCTTTTCTTTTTTTGCTTAAGGCTTTCCTACTAGACACATGCTCTTTTTTTCCTCCTTCTCCTCCCACTCAAACTTTTTTTTTCCCCAGCTTTCAGTAGACAATGTCTGCAGACTTTGATTTTTAAACTGAGAGACTGAGATGGAAAGCTCTGAAGAGAACAGACCTCTCCCTCCCCATTCACCTTTTGCTGTGGCAGCTATTTTTTGTTGTTTCTACCCTTATGAGACAGTGCAGCTCTTTTACCTGCCAGTTGCAGTGTGAAGGCTACAAGATTCCCTGCCTCTGCAGTGGATTGCTTTTTTTAATGGCTGCTTTGATTAAAAAAAAAAAGATAAATAATAACGGGAGAGAAGGGGAGAGAAAAATCTTTCTGCCTCTAGCCCCCTTTCCCCTTGTTGTGGGCAGATTACCTGCTTTGTTGCTCGTTAATGAGGAATTTGTATTTATTGGTGAAGGAGAAAACATGCTGGGGAAGTAGGGAGAAGATGTTGCTTTATTGACCTCTGCTGTTTACTTCAACCCCCTCTTTGGGAAAGCTTCTTCCTGCTCTTTCTGGTTAACTCTTTCTAGCCTGGGATACGCAGGGATGTCTCCTTTATTTTTGTATTCTAGCAATGGGCTCTCTGTTAGGAGACTCTAGGATTCTCTTAGTGTTGCGATGACCATTGCTTCTCGCTTTTTCAAGTACTAAAGATGATCATCTCCTAAACTTTGCCCCTGCAGTTGTAGAGGTAACACACAAGCCTTACTGTCCTCATTAGAAGGAGCAGAAAACTTGTTTCTCTGGTCCCTGGAAGAGAAAGGGTTAAGCAATTAAACAATTCTTTGTTCTAGTTCTTTCTTGGTGTCATTTTGTTTGGGGGTTTGGTCTGGCTTTGTTCTACCTTTCTCCTCTATGGAGGTGGACAGGGGTGGGCGGAGGGTGGCCTGGTTGGGTTGGATGTTGTCTATGCAGCAGTGCTGGGTGGTGGAGAATAAAGGCCACAGTAAACTTGAGTGGGAATTGGGCCAGGGAGCCTGAAACCTGGCTTGTAAGCTGTGGTGGTACTGAGTTAGTGCTGCTGGAGGTTTATCCAGGTGTGGGAGCTCAGATCTGTCAGCAGAGCGAGAGCTGGGGCTGTTCGTGGGAGCAGAGTCCACCTCCAACTTGGTGTAGAGCTAAAGCTGCAAATGTTGGGGTGAGGATGAGGATGAGGACGGCTGCCAGGGGATTACTGGGGAAGAGAGAAGTGGGGCACATGTCTGACAGAAAGATGAATGGTGCTGAAATGGGGTTAGTTTCTCTGAGTCATGTTTTATCAGGGTCGGGGGTAAAACTGATAAAATCCTCTTTGAGTCCCTGCTGAATCCAAGAGGTAGAAGTGAGCTGGGGGAGAGTGGGGGGGGCAAAAAGCCGAGTAGGGAAAATGAGCCCACCCTTCCCTTTTAGCTCTTCTGAAATCGCCTCTTGCCCTGAGAAGCAGAGCCCTGGTGACTTAGGCTGTGGAGCAGACACAAGGTCACCTGCTTGAGTCACCATGTTACTACCTGATCTTCAGAGATGTTTCTACTGTCAGAAACAAACGCACTTTTTGCCTTAAAGTGTCTCACACTCGGCGTGGTGTGTAGGACATCAACATTTAGATGGTGATCCCTTGCCGAAGGATATCACAAACTCACTTTGTCCTTTGGGCTCCTCCCAAATACTTTCCTGTCCTCTGAGCTGTGGAATGTGAGGCCTTAAGAGTTAGAAAACCAGTCTGCTATTTCCAGAATCCATTTGAACTCTTCTCTTAAAAATTCCCATTGGGCACCTTTCAGCTGGAGGCCTTTTGAGGCTTCTTAATTTTGAATCCTGTCTGATAGAAATTATTGCTTTAAAAGACAGCTCTGCTCTAAAATAGCAATGCGCATCCACAGCTGGAATTGGCAATCAACTAATTAGGTCAGATGTTGGACTGAATGGTTGGACAAAGAGGAAGCGTGGAAAGGGAAGCCGAGTGATTGAGTTGTGGGTGGAAATGGTTAGAAGGACCCAGAAAATGAGTTTTATTTGTAATTTGGGTAAAGGAATTGGGTTGAGGAGGGAAAGGAGCAATATGCTGTGGGATGTGGGGAGAGGAATAATCACAGCCCTGCTGATGAGTTCACTTTTCTCTGATGTCACTGTTTGCAGTGCCAGGAACAAGTCTGCAAAGGGCTCAAGATGGCTCCGGCCTCTGAGCAAAATGGGATGTCAGAAAAGTGCTGGCTGTTGTTGCAGTGAGGAGTTCAGTCCCTCTGCACGTTAACGCTCCTTTGAGCTCGTTCAGGTCTTGCTGCTGCACGAGATGAGACCAACTGGGAACCCCTCCGGGGCTGGCAAGGAGAGAAGGTGGGCCTTTTTGTGGATGTCATAGCTGAGAAATCATCGTGACCTGCTCTCTGGCTCTTGGCGCTCTTCCTTCCACCTCATGCCCCTTGTCCCTGAGAAACTGTTGGCTTTCCTTTTAAACATCAGAGTTGCCCTGTGGATTGGCTGTGTCAATTGGTGAGGGAGAGAGAAGGAAATGCAGCTTTCAAGTGACAGGGAAACAGCAAAGACCTGAAGGTTAAAGCTGAGGGGTGAGATGGCTTAGGGGCATGTTTTTGGGGTGGGCGGCTGCGCCTGCGTATGTTCTTGCGCTTGTGAGTAGCACCATCATCAATACAGATGAGAGTGACGTTTCTGGTTCATGCTGAGCGATTAGAGGCTGTCAGATTGCAGCAGGCACAGACCACAGGAAAGGAACAACAAAAACGCAAAGCAACCCACCCCAGCATCACCTCCAGGGTGGGGGAAGGACACGGTGGTGTCCTCCATCAGCCTGTGCCTCGGTGACATTTTGAACAGACTCCTGCACGCGGTGTTGCCTGCTGCTGCCTCAGTTGTCAATGTCAGAAGGGGGAGGGGGATCTTTTCCTTGAGTGGTTTGGTTCTGGCAGTCCCTGTAATGTTTGAGCTGTCACAACAGGGAAGGTTCCCAAGGAAGCCGCTTATGGAACAAGAGCTGGCTGGGTGCCTGCTTCTTTCAGGCTCAGAGATGAGCCGGGGTAGAAAGGGGAGGTAACCAAATCCCTTCCAGGCCAAGCTCCAGCTGTAGCCATGGTGGCGAGTGCTTGGACAAACCCAAACCGGTGTGCAGTCCCTGTAATGTTTGAGCTGTCACAACAGGGAAGGTTCCCAAGGAAGCCGCTTATGGAACAAGAGCTGGCTGGGTGCCTGCTTCTTTCAGGCTCAGAGATGAGCCGGGGTAGAAAGGGGAGGTAACCAAATCCCTTCCAGGCCAAGCTCC